TTGAAAAGGAACTCGGGGGTTATGAAACCTCAATATTCTTTTCTGTCCATTACTACCTGTGCTACTGAGCCTCAGCGTCTGCATCTGTGTAATGGAGGTGATGGTAACTTCTCTGCACTTCTTGAGGTTGTTGAATTGAATTAGTTGATATATGCCAAGGCTCTTTGTAAATATCTAGTGGTGCACAACATCTGGTGCCCCACAGTTATTCATAGATTTTCTTTCTCCTTTAGGGAGGTAATGAGTAAAAGGTTTTATCAGATATTTCCCATGTGTCTATCTCAGGTAATGCCATTTAGTAGAACCAGGCAGACTTTTTATTTATTTTTATTTTTTACTAGAGGCCCAGTGCACAGATTCGTGCACTGGAGGGGTCCCTCGGCCTGGCCTGTGGAGATCAGTGGACCTCCACACTACCACAGCCCAACCTTACCCTACAGCTCATCGGGCTCCAGCCCACTGTCCGCGTTGATCCTGCACAGCATGAAGTGTTGTGTGAAGCAGCAGGAGGCCGGGGAGAAGCCTGAGCCCTAACTGGGCATTGCGCTGCACTCTTCATCCTGGCCCCACTGCGCCTGCTGCTGCTGTAGCTTGGGCACTCAGGGGGAGTGTCTGCGGGAGAGGCTGGTGCAGCTGCGCTCATCAGGTGCCAGCTGTGAGCCTGGCGTCTGGTGCCTGTCTGTCAGCTGAGCGGTGCTCCCACTGTGGGAGCACACTGACCACCAGGGGGCAGCTCCTGCGTTGAGCATCTTCCCCCTGGTGGTCAGTGGTTGTTATAGTTACTGGTCAGTCGTCTGGTCGCTTAGGCTTTTATATATATAGATTGAGTTAAAATATGTATAAATAACATAAAATGTACCATTTTAGCCATTTTTGAGTGTACAGTTTAGTGACATTGAATACATTCACATTGTTATAAAACCATCACCACCATTACCTCTAAAACTTCTTTATCTTCTCAAACAGAGACTCTGTACCCATTAAACAATACCCCCTAACCCCCGCCTTTTCCCTTTCTCCAGCCCCTTGGCAACCACCATTCTACTTTCTGTCTATGAATTTGAGTACTCTAGGTACTTCATATATGTAGGGTTATACACTATTTGTCCTTTCAATTCTGGCCTTATATTTAACTTAGAATAAGGCCTTCAAGCCCTGACTGGTTTGGCTCACTAGATAGAGAGTCGGCTTGGGGACTGAAAAGTCCTAGGTTCGATTCCAGTCAAGGGCATGTGCCTTGGTTGTGGGCACAACCCCAGTGGGGAGTGTGCAGGAGGCTGCTGATCAATGCTTCTCTCTCATCGATGTTTCTAGCTCTCTATTCCTTTCCCTTCCTCTCAGTAAAAGATCGGTGAAATATATATTTAAAAAAAAATAAAAAGAATAAGGCCTTCAAGGTTCATTCATGTTGTAACCTGTGTCAGAATTTCATTCCTTTTGATGGCTGAGTATTCCATGGCATGTCTATACCACATATGTTTGAGCCCCAGCTTTCAATTTTGGTGGGTTATACCCAAAAGTGACTTTTAGTCTGAGCTGAGGGACTATATAATCTTGGCTTTGTGATCCTACTCAGTACCTGTTGATAGAGACTACCAGAGTCACGAGGGGGCACCCCAGCCTTCTGGGGCATGCCCTGTGCCTTTCACAGGTGCCTCATTGTCAAGCCCCCAGATGCTTAGCTCATGAAGCCCTTTATGGGTCTATGCCCATTGTCCAACCCTCAGCATGGGGTCACAGATGGTCCATTCCTCCTGAAGTAAGGGACAAAGGTAGAGAAACTTGTGATCCAGGAGCTGCCTTACCTTGACCTCAGCTTCCTGCAGCAGCCAACAGCAGTGGACCTGATGGCGATCTCTAGTCCCCTTCCATAATGTCATGGTCAAGGAGTAGATTCACATAGAAACCTCACCTCCCACTCAGGGAAAGAATGATCCACGGAACAAGGAACTTTCCCCTTTGTGCCCCTGATAGCTACAGCTAAGCACAGGACTCCTCTGTTGGCCGTAGTCTGTTACTGCTGCTGGTGGAAATCATGTTCTTTCATGAGGAAAGCATTCCACAGACCCACACCTGGAAGATTGTGACATGGTAGGATTTATTTAGGTGGAAATAGAAGGCTGGCTGTCCCTGGGTTTCCAATGTCCCATCTGATCCATCCGACTGTAGAAAAAATTCCCATCTTGCCTTCATCAAGCCCCAAACAAAGGCCAGTGTCCACAGTTTATGTGTCATGTGAAAGGTTAGTCCTTTGGAGCCTGTGTGGTCAGCCATGGGCCCCAGGTGGCTGCCAAAACTGCATGGCTGCGACAGAGAGAACTCGGAAAGGAACAGGGCAAGCGAGTGTTACTGGGAGGGAGAAGGAGAGGGAGAGGAAGAGGGAGAGAGAGAGAGGGAGAGTGGGGGAGAGGGGGAGAGAGGGGGAGATGGGGAGAGAGGGAGAGAAAAGAAGGCTTTGTTAGCTGGGATTATATTATCTTGGGCTTGGGAAGGACAAGGCTCTCTTCAAACTAACCAGTCATCAACTCCTAAGCTTTCATGGGCTTCTGGTGGATCTGCCTTCTAACCAACCTCCTCTTTCCCAGGTTGGGCTGACAGCCTTTACGGTCACTATCTTGGCTCCTGTTGCTCATGCCTCATAGGAAGACCGCCCCCTCCCCTCCCCCCGCCGTGCCACCTTGACTTGTACTGCACATGTGCTTACCTCCCCCTGCTCCCCTGACACCTGCACTGGAGGGTGGGCTGCTCCCTGCATGGGGAAAGGGAGGGATATTAATCCCCGTGGCGGGGCAATGCTGCTATCCCGTGGAGTGTCAAGCTCGAGCTTCCTGATTAAACAGGCTTATTCTCCCTGGTTGATTATACTTAATAATGTCTGATTCCCTTTGCTACCTTTATTAACATTTCACCACCTAGCTAACATTACCACTCACACAGATCCTGAGGAGGCAGAGCATGGGTGGATGCAGAGTGGGGTCTGCCAGCAGTGGTCTGTCAGAGCTCTGGCAGCTTGGTTGCCACTGCTGAAGGGTTCTCCACCTTCTGGAAAATGGACGTAGTAAGTCCAGCAGACTCAGGAGAGAAACCATTATGGTATCAGCGGCATCAGGGACCCAAGTAGCCAAAAGGGAAACAGAATGAATGCATGGATTCCTCGCCTATGGTTTTAGAATCCTCACATGGTTTTAGGTCTGTCATCACTGATCTTTCTTTCCTCCAGCATAGTTCTTGTTCTGCCTCCTGGAGGATAGCAAGAGGCAGCATGTATGTAGTTGTCCACAGTTTCTTCCAGCTTAGAAACCACACTCACTTTGAGATGAATCCATCTGGGTCTGTCCCTGAGACAGAAGCCAGGGGAGAGACAACCCCTGGGTTGCAGAGGAGATGGGGGTGGAGGGGAGGTGCCTGAAATTGTATGAATTGGTCTTTTTGGGCAAAATTCATTGGCAGTGACTAAATGTTACTGGGAATGTCCTATTCCATATATTACTTTATGATAAATCTATTGTGGGTTTTCATGTATTTATTATTTCATAATTGCTCTTCTGCCTGGTTCCATGTGAGGCATACGGTACTGTGAGGGGAGAACCCTACTTTGCCGATTATTTGTGGATTTGGATGGAATGCCTCAGTTCTGACATTTTCCACTTGGTTCTGTTCTGGAATGCCTATCTTCTGCCCTCAGGTTTATGTAATTAGATACAGACTTTGAAGATGGACGGACGTCTCTTGTGGGAGTTAATGTTCCAGTAGGAATGCTGTTCCAGGTAATTGTACTAAGTGGAGTGAATTCCTCTCACTGGAAAGGATTTTTAAAATATCTACTTATCTTCCTTTGACAGATGCATATCCCTTCAGATGGGGAAGGAGAGAGAGGAAAAAGTACGTTGTCCTTGCTTAGGCATCTCTTTGATGTTGACTGAAGAGCAAAGGCCCCCTAGGCATGGCCGTTGGGATGACATTGGTCCTTCCAGGGGGTTCTTTTGATGTAGGAGGGGTTGTCCCTCATCATAACTGTGTAGAAGCCGCATTTGTTCTCTCTCTGAGGATATAAAAGGAAGTCTAGGCATAGAGAATGACTCAGAGGCTTGTGGTTTTCCTTGACCCGTGTGCACAGGTCCACGTTACTGAGATCTGAAGTGAACACTGGAGGACTCATTGGGGGTGTTCTGCCCCCCAACCTAAGTGCATCATCCAGGTTGCTGCTGGCAAATACAGGGAGGGGGCAAGGCAGCCAGGGAGGCACTGGCTCTGGGGTTCACTGACCACAGGGGACCTCTCTGGAGAAATGGGCTGTCTGGCCTCAAGTCTTGGTTATGTTTTCAGCTTGTTGCTCTACCCTTACAAAGTTAAATTTATATTTTCAGGCAGGAAAGTCTATCTCACTCAGGGCATCATTTGCGTCTTTTTTGGTTGGTTTAATAAAGAAGCAAGATGCTTATTGAAGACTTGCATGCCACGCCCTACCAATTAATTAACCCCGGGGTGATAACACGTGTGGTACTAACTCACAGTTTAGTCACATCCTTACCTGTCTGCAAAAATTTATTAAATGTTTGTGAAGTACTCTGAAATTTTCTTGGGATGGAAAGGCCTGAGAGGAATCTAGAAATTTTAGTATAGTCATACTGGTCTACTTGGGTGTGGGGGTGCCGACAGCTTCAGATGAACACCATCTTTCTCGGTAGGAATCTTGCTGGAAGCTTCTCTGTTTGCTCCCAAGTCGCTGCTACATGATGTTCTGCAGGGTAGCAAGTGGCACCGGGAGGCAGCCAAACCCATGTGGACATCCACGTGTTCCTCTGCATGAGGGCACATTTGTGTGTGTACTTCCTTGCATAGAAGTTTGGTCGGAAGTGATGCTGGGTAATAAAGTATAGCAATGTTGGTGGTCATTTGTGTCGCTGTTATTGCTCAAACTTTGGCAGTGGGACTAGAGCAGCCTTTGGAACTCCTAAATCCTGAACTAAACCACTCTTTTTCTCCCTCTTTCTTCACAGTGGGGCATTTTCTGAAGTGGTTTTAGCCGAAGAGAAAGCAACTGGAAAGCTCTTTGCGGTGAAGTGCATTCCTAAGAAGGCGCTGAAGGGCAAAGAAAGCAGCATAGAGAATGAGATAGCCGTGCTCAGAAAGTAAGTCCAAGAGGCATGCCTTCTTCTCCGGCTGCCTTGGGATTATCCATCCCTAATTCAAGGAGGGAGGAGGCTGTGGGCACTGGCCTCCCAGAGTTCAAAGAGGGCAACAGACCTGGCTGCAGGGAGAGGTGGGCTCTGCCAGTGACGACTGAGGCTGACGTAGTGCTTTCTTTCAGGGACATTTTCAACTATACATTGTATGTATTATATCATTTGCAGTGGTTATTTTTTCCCTAAGATCACAGCAGTCAAGTAGACTTGGTTTTGAACTGAGATCCTGACACTCTAGCGCAGTGGTTCTCAACCTTGGCTGCACATTAGAATCACCTGGGAATCTTTTTAAAATCCTGATTTCTGGGCCTCATCCTCTGGAAATTCTGTTTCTTTGTTACTAATGTAGTGGCCCCACCCCATAACAAAGAAACAGGATTTCCGGAGAATGAGGCCCAGAAATCAGGATTTTAAAAAGATTCCCAGGTGATTCTAATGTGCAGCCAAGGTTGAGAACCACTGCTCTAGCAGGTGACCTTGGGCTAGTTACTGAGCTCTGAGCCTCCTCTGTGAAATGAAGTTGCTAACATCTCCCTACATGTGGTTCAGGATGAAGTGAGATGGTGCTTCACAAGTGTTTGTAAAGCGCTTCCAATGACACCTGCTATAGTAAGTACTCAGTAAAGGGTAGCTGCCACCACCACTGCCGCCAGTGTTATCATTGTTGCTTTATTTTATAATAAGGAGATGAAGCTCAGAGGGTAATTTGTTCAGTGCCTTGCAGAGCCTGGAGTGCCAGCCTCACCAGTGTTATTTCCACATTCTTTCATGAGTCTTTCACTTTCCGCCACACACATGGCACCCAGGAAGTTCCATACAATTTACTATTGAAGAGCTTCACCTCTTCATTGAATTTTACTTTTGCTCCCCGTGTGGAATAGAACCAAATCAAGATCTCACCTTTAGTTTAATGGCACACACAGAACCACCCCAAAGTGACTGGACCCGCCCAAAAGATGACCTTTCACTAATGTGGTGTCCATCATCATCAAGCCATTTTGTGTCTCACAAAGTTTGGGGGAACAAACCCTTATTTGCGTTTGCCTGTTTGGAGTGTATCTGAGCCCTGTGCTATGAAATTTTTAAATAACTTCTATTAATAAAAGATGTTAGAAATATCCTTGAAATTTTTTGGGTTTGGAATCAGCATCAAGCAAGAATCCTGTCCAGATAGGCAAGACAGAATGGGAACAAGCCTTGTAGGGCCTTAAAACAAATGTCACACCCACACATTCTTCCTGAATAGGCCGCCCCTCCACTTCTGTCTCAGGGACCAGCAGTGCCCTTTGAAGGATCTTTGCTGCCATCAGTACAAACCCAGTGCCACCGAGGTGGTTAGGAGAGTTCATTCTGTTCTGTATCATGTGTGATGTGTGTTCCGGAACAGATGGGTCTGAATAGCTCTTTAGTTAAGGGTTTTCACTTATTTCTTTGTTTGTTTGGATGGTTTCTAGGTTTCCTGGATTGTCTATTAGGGGCCGGAAGAGTTTCAGATTGTCCTTTGGAGGATTGCATGAAATGACTCCATGGAAGAGAACTGAGGAAAACAAATAACATTAGCATCAAGCTGGAGAACACTCTGTTAATGAAACATTTATTTAAATTGCTCATTTTCCAATATGAAATCAGCACTTGGAGAAGAGGGTATCTGCTAGGTATTAAGCTGCTGCCACGTTGCAGATATTGGACATTTTAATGGAAATTCTAGGTGGGCCCAGAGCCTTCTAGAAGCTCTTTTTTGGGCACTGGGGCCGCCCGCTGAGGAATCAAGGATGCTACCTTTATGTTTATGTGACTCCTTCATTGGCGTAGAAGCCACACATCCAGGGAAGTCAGTATTCATTCCCAGTATTATTTTTCTTCTACATGGACAGGGGATGTGGAGGTAGACTTCATCTGTTATGTTGGCTTACACCACAGTCATTCTGCTGTAATCAGTGTCTCCACCCTGTACCTCACTCAAATAATCACCACTGCCAGGGAGACGGCGCTTGAAACAGCGAGGGCACGGGTCTTGGAGTAACTCACTTGGATAGTTTCACGCTATCAGCTTTTGGAATATCTTGAAACATGAACCTTCTTTCAGGAATACAGAACACATACATCATTTCTGAGGGGATAAGAAGGTGATATCTTGCCTGGACTGATTTATTTATTTATTTATTTTGCCTCTACAAATGACTCACACGTGGAATAAGAGGCAGTTCCATATTGTAAACAGCTGAAAGCAGAGAATCTGAGCTGTAAAGAACCTGAGTTGTTTGAAGGCTGGCATTCAAACAGCCCAAACAGAGGTAAGGAGATGCGAGGCAGGCTCGTGTGCTGGGAGCTCCAAGTAGCTAGCTCATCAGACTGGGGCAGAGGGCTTAAGGTGAGGCACAGGAGACCTGAGGTTGGAGAGATGAGACTGGGGGGGCGCGGGGGCGGGTGTTGTATACCTTGCTTGGACCTTGAATGTCATTCTGTAGACAGTAGGGAGCCAGTGAAAGGTTTTATGTTTGTTTTTTTAAAAATATATTTTATTGATTTTTTTACAGAGAGGAAGGGAGAGGGAGAGAGAGTTAGAAACATCGATGAGAAAGAAACATCGATCGGCTGCCTCCTGTACACCTCCTACTGAGGATGTGCCCGCAGCCAAGGTACATGCCCTTGACCGGAATCGAACCTGGGACCCTTCAGTCTGCAGGCCGACGCTCTATCCACTGAGCCAAACTGGTTAGGGCCAGTGAAAGGTTTTAATGAGAGGGCAATGTGGCCAGGATTGTTTCATAAAGATTGCTGTGGCAGAACATAGAAGAATGGATTGGAGGGGGCAAGACTCAATACAGAGGGGGCAGTTAGGAGGCCACTGGAGGAGTCTGGGAAGCAGCACATTTAAATAGGAGCTATGGGTTGGGATAGAAGAGACAAATATGAACGTGTGCACAAAATCGAATCTGTAGGACAGGGATTTGGAAGGAGTGGGAGGCAGTTGATGGGAGGTAGGCTTCTAGAATAACTTCCAGGTTTCTGATTGGATAACTAGATCATTGTAAATAGGGTTCCAGAGACCTGCTTTGTTGCACATTCTGCCATATGCCCTGGTCATTTGCATATTTCCATGCTATTTTTCATCCAATTAGGCCCATCTGAGAGACTGCTTGCCCTCCTATGTGCTGAATTTATTGCAGGATGAGAGATTTATGTATTTCACTGGGTTAAAGTAATGTAGCTAATATATCCCTTAAGGAGGTCTTTAGACTTGTTCTGAAAATAGTTCTAAAATGAATCTTTTGATAAGCAGATACTAAACCCAGCTCGGAGGGGATCAAGAGTGGCAGCATTGTGGTGAGCAGGTGCTGTGTGCAGAGAGCTGCTGCCTGGCTGGCACTCAAGGGCAAGATCTGTGCATTTCCACACAAGCGTTCCCCAGTGGAATGGTTAGCTCTGGTGCCAGGAATGGAGTATGTTATGCGTTAGGGACTATCACATTATCAGTGCCATATTCCCTAGTTAAATTATAGAGCTTATCATTTCTGTGTTATTATTTACTTCTGTGTTATTATTTACTTACTTATTTACTTACCTATCCAAATCAAATCTCAAGGCAACATATATAGCGTTTTTGTGTCTGCATTACGTGAGAGGTAGAGAGAGAAGGCAATGCATAAAGCTGGAGAATGGGGGATGAGAGAAGTAACACAAGTGAATCTAGAGTAGCTGTTTCCCTAATAGTTGGGGTAATGAGGCTCAGACTAGTTAAAGAGGCACTGTCTGCATGAAACATAGCACCCAAATTCAACACACTGTTCTTATGGTCACCTGGTAGGCTGCAGAGATGATCTTACTCAGGAAAGGGGCCTGCTTTTAAATTGTGTGCTCTCCTCCATCTGGGCGCACAGGGGAGCCTCAGCTGATGGTCACTGCCTCTTTCTCTCTACATCAGCCCTAGTTGCATATTAACACCATCTGGGATGCTTTTTGGAACGTTCTGATGCCCAGGCACCATCCTAGACTGATAGGAAATTTTGCAAAGCAAACCCCCGACCCCATGATTCTAACACGTGGCCACATCAGTGCTGGATAGCTCTGTACAACCCTGGTTTCACCTCCCAGGCCTGGAGCTGTTCTTCAGTGTCCAGGAGTGTGTGAAGATATGGACACACAAACGCACTACACATGTTTCCTTTAGGTGAGAACTTCAGTCATAGAGGGGGTTGGCTGGATCCCACCATCCCATCAGAGGGAGCAGCTCCAGCCGCTGGCTGGGTCAAGGCTCTCAGAGGCTGTGCTGGGGTTGGTCAAGTCAGCATGACTAGGTGCTGAGCCCACTGTCAGAAGGGGATCAGAGCTGCTGAAGGTAGCTGAATCCAAGCCCAGGGTTGCGTGTGGCCATGGTCAGCATGGATGGCAGGAAGTGTGGTGGGGCTGGGCCTTCTGGAGGGAGAATGAATCGAGCACCTCACCCAGGTGAGAGCAGGACTCCGGAGGCCTAGCATTTCTTGCCGTAGTAACTTGGTTCTCTGGTTCTTAGACCAGATGTGCTTCTCTCAGTGCAGACCAGGGAAGGCAGCTTTAGCACCCGAAGGAGAGGACAGCCGTTTTGTTTTCAGTTAACAGCCTTCAGAGAAAGAATTCTCTGTAGATTAACTCATTTAAATCTGGCTTGCTTCAGCTCCCTCAGCTTTGTTCTGATGGCAGCCTGGCCCCATTCACTTGTTGAGATCACTGCCAAGTGCCAGTTTATTGTGTGTGTCAGAGAAACATAACGTTTCAATAGAAATTCATCAGTTCTGGGTGAACAAAACCACTTTTCAAAGACTGAAAAGGGCTGAGCTGGTAAAGCGGATACTCGCGTTTCTCAGGCACCAATACAGCTTTTTAAGGAGCGATCTGCCCTGCCTAGGAGATGGTGTTCTAATACAGAGACCTTTTGTCTTGAAAGCTAGTTTTGGAATTAAGGACAC